ACACTTAATTGAAAACTGCTCTAGATACTAATTACAAACCAAACATTTGTATTAGCTGCTCTTTTTGCAAGAAAGTCCCTGCCCCCGGCTTATACACACAAAAAATACATTCTTGTCAGACAAATTAATATCTTATTATAAACAATCTTGAGCCTCTTACGCTTTTTCTCAGGAGGTTTTGTGTGGTGTTCTTCCAAAATGACTACAACAGAGAAAAGAAAACAAAATTTTGTGAGTGAGAGTATAAAGCTAGGACTAACATGAGTGAGCTGACTTCACCTAGTTATAAGAATAACAAGACTGAATTAAACATCACAGCCAGGTTAAAGAACTTCCAATGTTGCAGTTTGGTCTGGTTTCAAGGAATGCAGTTATCAGTAAACGTACACACATGTTAAACAATGCTATAAAATACCAGAAAATGTAGTTGATTATACCATCTCCAGTAGTGAAAAAAACCTACATGTAATTCTGGGAGCTGTCCAAGAAAGAGCTATTTTGTTGCATGGGGCAGTGAATGGTTTCTTGGAAATCATGGCTCTGGCTTTTTTTCTCTGATTGTGAAATCTRGGAAGTCTTTCTGATGAGGTACTAAGTATTGTTTTTCTTGTTTCATATACAGGCCTAAGATCATTAGTCTCAGACTTGGATTTTCAAACAAAGGTTTCTACATTGCAGAGGGTCTCAGATTTTACCATTTCATTTTGCCATCCCTACTGCAAGAGCAATCAGAGTTCATTCACCCTGACTACATATACTACTGTATGTCTATAGGTCCTTGTTTCTTCCCCTTGCCTCAGGATCCCTCTAGATATATTTTTCCTGCTTGCTTTCTTTTGTATGAAACTATGTGCTTTTCGACTACAGTTGGTGCAAGTAATCCTAACAATAATTATTAATCATTAATAATATTATTCATAAATAATAATATTATTCATTTAATATTAATAATATTTATCATTAATAATAATTAATTCTTAATCATGATTAAATTTTATTAATCTGCTGCTAGCTACTGTAGAACTTCAGCTGATACCTGGTTGTGCCTCAGATTTCAACAGTGGAGGTAGATCTTCATTCCTACATGTATCCAGGTTTTCCACATCTACTTCAATTTGTCGACTACGGGTGTCAACCTACCAAACAAACAATCTTTTACACACTACTTTTTAATTAAGTAATATAATACATATATCTTGCAGATTGATAGAATAGAGTGTGTTCATGTGATGTCATCAAATTCTCCAATCCAAAACTAAAGAGCCCCTAAAGGTTTTATCTGCATCAGGCATAAGAGGTACTAAATTTATATCTGTTT